TTTTTTTTTTTTTTTTTTTTTTTTTTGTCTTTTTTCCGTGTCCGGCAACGGATCGCAACCCTCAGTGTTGCCCCCGTACCAGACCGGGGACCGGCAACGGGATTGCAAGCCTCGGTGTTGCTCCCGCGCCTCGCTCACTGAGCGGGAGCCGGTCCGTATGTGGGATCCGAACCCTCGGACGGGAGTGCCGCCGTGCTTCCCAAGCGGCGCACTATCCAGTGCGCCACTGGGCCGGCCCTACCTTTAACTCTTAAAAGGAACATTTTCTTAAGTTCTCCAATCCAGCTCCAATCCTCCCGTGCCTCTCCCCCACTCTTTGGGAGACCCAGATAAACATTTCAACTTCTGCTTGTTTGTTCGAAAGAGTCCAAGTTTTCAAGGTTCATTGTTATTGGCCAGAACACCATGTGGTATCAGCCTGGGACTCTTGGTTTTGCTGGTCTGTTTTAATTCTCTTCTATTAGATGTTTGAACAGATCCAAGTAAAATTGGGAATTTATGCATTTTCGGGACTTGGTTAGGCTTCAATAAGTAAAAACTACTCTTTTTTTTAATTAGCACAATGTTGAGATGAAGATTTTATCCAGGATTTGAATATACATGTTTACATTACATTATAAGGAGAACCTGCATTCCACATGATGGAACATTGAATGATACATTTACTTATTATTTTTTTAAACCTTATTCATTTTGGTTTTTTTTCAGACAACTTTGTGGCGGTATAATTCACATGCTATACAATTGGCCGATTGAAGCTGTACTCTTCAATGGTTTTTAGTAAATTCACAGAGTTGTGCAACAATTACCACAATAAATTTTAAGACATTTTCATCAACCCACAAAGAAACCCCTACCTATTAATAAGCACTCCCCATTCCCCCTTCTAGCTCCTGACAACCACTGATCTAATTTCTGTCTCTCAGGATTTGCCTGTTCTGGACATTTCACATAAATGGAGTTACATACCCTGTGGCCTTTTGTAGCTGGCTTCTTTTACTTAGCATAGTGTTTTCAAGGTTCATCCATGCTGCAGCATTTATCAGCATTTCGGTCTTTTTTTTTTCTCTAATAGACTTCATTTTTTAGAGCAGTTTGAGGTTCACAGCAAAATCAAGCAAAAGGTACTTTTGCCCCCCGACACAGGCATAGCTTCCCATTATCAACATCCCCCACTAGAGTGGTACGTTTGTTATAATTAATGAACCTTCACTGACACATCATTATCACCCTAAGTCCATAGTTTACATTAGGGCTCGCTCTTGGTGTTGTATATAGTCTGTGGATTGGGACAAATGTATAATTACATGTGTCCACCATTTATAGTATTATACAGAGTATTTTCGCTGCCCTAAAAATCTGTTGTGCTCGCCTCTTCATCCTCCCTTCCACCTCACCTCTGGCAACCACCGAGCTCTGTACCGTCTTTATAGTTTTGCCTTTTCCAGAGTGTCACATAATTGGAATCACAGTAGGTAGCCCTTTCAGATTGGCCTTTTTGACCTAGAAATAGGCATTTAACTTTCCTTCATGTATTGACACCTCATTTCCTTTTAGTGCTGAATAATATTTCGTTCTCTGGTGTACCACAGTTTATCCATTTACCTACTGAAGAGCATTTGAGTTACTTCCAAGTTTTGGCAATTATAAATAAAGCTGCTTTAAATATCCGTGTATAGGTTTTTGTGTGGACATAAGTTTTCAGCTCCTTTGGGTAAATACCAAGGAGTGCGATCGCTGTTTTGTAAAGTAAGAGTATGTTTACTTTTGTAAGAAACTGCCAAACTGCCTTGCAAAGTGGCTCTACCATTTTGCATTCCCAGCAGCAGTGAATGAGAGTGCCTGTTGTTGCACATTGTTGCCAGCATTTGCCATTGTCAGAGTTGGCCATTCTAGTAAGTGTGTGGTGGTATCTCATTGTTCTTTTGTGTTTCCCTGATGATATATGATGTCGAGCATGTTTTCATATGCTTATTTGCCAGCTGTATACCTTCTTTATTTACAAGGCTACGCTCTAACCAACTGAGCTAACCGGCCAGCGCATTTTAAACATTTCTTTTCTTTTTTTTTTTTTTTGGGGGCTGGCCGGTAGGGGGATCTGAACCCATGACCCTGGTGTTACATCAGCTTTGATGAGGTATCTATTAAGGTTTTGGGCCAATTTCTTAATTGGGTTGTTTGTGTTCTTACTGTTGATTTTTAAGAGTTCTTTGTATAATTTGTTTGACAGTTCTTTATCAGATATGGCTTTTGCAAGTATTTTTTCCCAGCCTGTGGCTTGTCTTTTCATTCTTTTGACAATGTCTTTTGCATAGCAGAAATTTTTAATTTTAATGAAGTCCAGCTTATCAATTCTTTTTTTCATGGGTTGTGACTTTGTGTCACATCTAAAAATTCATTGCCAAACCAAGGCCATCTAGATTTTCTTCTGTTATCTTCTAGGTGTTTTATAGTTTTTCATTTTACATTTAGGCCTGTGATCCATTTGAGTTAATTTTTGTGAAGGATGTAAGATCTGTGTCTAGATTCATTTTTTGCATGTGATTGTCCAGTTCCAGCACCATCTGTTGAAAAGACTGTCTTTGCTTTATTGTATTGCCTCTGCTCCTTTGTCAAAGATCAGTTGACTATAATTATGGGGATCTATTTCTGGGCTCTTTAATCTGTTCCTTTGATCTATTCGTCTGTTCTCTCACCAATACCACACTGTCTTGATTATTGTAGCTTTATAGTGAGTGAACTTGGGGAATGTCAGTCCTCCAACTTTGTTCTCCTTCAATATTGTGTTGGCTATTCTGGGTCTTTTGCCTGTTCATATAAACTTTAGAATCATTTTATGATATCAACAGAATAGCTTGCTGGGATTTTGACTGTGATTGCATTGAATTTATAGATCAAATTGGGAAGAACTGACATATTGACAATATTGAGTCTTCCTTTCTTTGAGCATGGAATATCTCTCCAGTTACTTAGCTCTTTAATTTCTTTCATCAGAATTTTGTATTTTTCCTCATACAAATCTTGTATTTTGTTAGCAGTTACTTAGCTCTTTAATTTCTTTCATCAGAATTTTGTATTTTTCCTCATACAAATCTTGTATTTTGTTAGATTTATACCTAAGTATTTTATTTTATTTTTTATTATTTTTATTATTTATTTATATTTTTTTCTTGCTAATACAGGGATTGAACCCCAGACTTCGGTGTTATCAGCACCATGCTCTAACAATCTGAGCTAACTGGACAGGGATTGAACCCCAGACTTCGGTGTTATCAGCACCATGCTCTAACAATCTGAGCTAACTGGCCAGCTTCATACCTAAGTATTTTATTTTTTGGAAGCCTAATATAAATGGTAGTGTGTTTTTAATTTTAAATTCCATTTGTTCATTGCTGTTATATAGGAAAGGAAATTGACTTGTATATTAATCTTGTATCCTGTAACCTCACTATAATTGCTTCTTAGTTCCAGTAGTTTTTTGCTGGTTCTTTTGGATGTTCTACATAGACAGTCATGTCATATGTGAACAAAAACAGTTTTATTTCTTCCTTCCCAATCAGTATTCCTTTTATTTCCTTTCCTTGTCTTACTGCATCAGGTAAGATCTCCAGTACAGTGTTGAAAAGGAGTAGAGAAAGGAGACATCCTTGCTTTGTCCTGTTCTCAGTATGAAGGCTTCTAGTTTTTCATCATTATGTATGATGTTAGCTAGAGGATTTTTGTAAATATTCTTTTTCAAGTTGAGGAAGTTTCCCTCTAGTGCTAGTTTACTGAGTTCTTATTATGAATGGTGTTGGATTTTGTCAAATGTTTTTTCTGCATTTATTGATATGATTATGTGGTTTTTCTTCTTTGCCTTGTTACTATAATGGTTTACATTAATTGATTTTTTTTCTTCTTTTTCTTTTCTTTCTTTCTTTCTTGTGGCTGGCTGGTATGGGGATCTGAGACTGTGACCTCTGCATTACCAATACCATACTCTCCCAAGTGAGCTAACTGGCTGGCCCTAATTGATTTTTTAATGTTGAACTAGCCTTGCACACCAGGGAGAAATCTGACTTGGCCATGGTGTGTAATTCTTCTTATACATTGTTAGATTCAATTTGTTAATATTTCTTTGAGGATTTTTGCATCTATGTTCATGGAAGGTATTGGTCTGTAGTTTTCTTTTCTTGTAATGTTCTTGTCTGGTTTTTGGTATTAAGGTAATGCTGACCTCATAAAACAAGTTAGG